TGAATGGAGAAACTACTGCGGCAGAGAGACTCATACTTCTCTATGGAATACAAGAGCAGTGATATCACCACACCTGTAGTCCATTTACATTTTTGTCCCTTAGGTTATAGTCTATACCTCCAGTACAAACATGGTCTGGGCGGAAGAGTTTGCAGGAGCCAGAGCACTGCACACATGATCCACTCATCACAGTTGTGATGCTTTGCAGACTCAAATGCAAAAAATAAAAAATAATACACATTTTGTTTTGTGCATTTTATTTTTTTGCAAAAGTTGGACTGTGCCTTTTTTAAAATTACATTTTCAGTCTGTGTAGTATTTATAATAACACAGCACATCTCATTTATTGAAGAGGTAGATGAACAAAAGGGAATGTTTCTTCTGATAATATGCGCAATAAGATGTGTTGTGAAAACAGACGACCGTCCCCATTACAGGGCAATAGATAGACGAGGAATTCAGTACTGGACTTATGTTATGTACAGTACCAACATGCAGACACAATCCTTTCATTGTGCACTGTGTTTTATAGACATGTACAGACTGGTACAAATAAATAAATAGTAATGGAGATATTACAATAGCTGCGCCTCGGCTTTGTAGACTCAAGTGATCTTTTGCTTATTAAACCTGTCTTGGGTAAACAAAGCAGTCATTAATTCCTGACAGATAAATGCCGCTTTAGTCATTGCCAGCTCTGAGATTTCCTGCCAATTCTGCCCCGAGTTTCTTCTGAGTTCAGGCTGGTAGATAATGTCTCTGGCGTAAAGCATTGCTCAAATCTATATCTCTGTGCAAGTAGATGTAAACTCTAAAGGTCGCTATACAGGTTACAATCTGCGCATACAATCTTTGAACAATCCACTTTAGATTTACCAAAACTATGTAATATGAGAACCCATCTAATCTATCCAATCAGGAAGGCCCTTGTACTATATACAGTATAGTAGTTGTTTGTACAATCTTCTGTAATTTTGCCATCAGATTGTATAGTGTATAGCCAGTTTAATGGCATTTAGTTGCCAAAGCCTGTGTATCATAAGCAGTTGCCTATTGGTTTTTCTGTTTTTCATCCTCCTTTTGCATCTCATTGCTCTCGGCTTTGTTTTCTACACTTCTTGTCTACATGCCGCACTGCTCCGGGTAGATTTCCTGATGGTGACAACACTGGGTCATACCAGAGCAATGAACATTACCATGGTTGCGTACAGTCTCCACTGGAAGCGTGTGCCAGGGAGACAGTGAGAGAGCGTTGTCACCCCATACCAGGAAGTGCCTGATTAAAAAACATCATGGTAGGATTAAAAGGGTATTATTTTAGTGCGTGCATTCAGCCAGAGAGAGTGAGAGAGAGATCCTTATTTTACATTCCGTTATTTTCATCTGAGTCCAATGAGATATTTACAAATTAAGGTCCTTACTTGCTGGTGGCTGGTTAGCTAAAACCTTGATCTCTCACAGAGCTTTGTGCATGAATAACAATCCACAATTGTGAATGTGTGAAAAAGCATGCATTCCACCACCTTCTACATTAGCTCAAGAGTCAACAGAAGGAACCATAGCAGCCAGTAGGGAGAAAGGGAGGGGGGGGCATGCTGTTCAACATACCAGAGGTGTCAGATAGTATTGGCGCCCAGAGCTCTGCAAGAGCATGAAATTTCAGCCAACCAGCCACCGGACAGGTAAGTATCAACCTGCTTCATTCTCAGGTGTTTAGATATTTGTAGCACTTGACAAGGTCACTTTAAAGCTATGTAAATTCAGCCTATTGTATTAGAATGTCATACTTCCAGGTATGGAGAGTCTAAAATGATTTCCTGTCTGGCTTTTTAAAAATAATTGGTCCCCTATTCATTCATTCATTAATCAGATATCTGCCACATATTTAACAGCATGCTGGTCTCCTCTGTAGCATGCTCATGGCCCATCATACCACATCTAATACGTAGCTCGGTCATTCCTAGCAATGCTAACCCAGACTATGGCCAGCCTTACTTATGGCCACTTCAAGTTATTATATCTCCAGGATTTACTGTTTCCTCAAACTATCATTTTCACTTCCCACTAACTCAAAATATGTCAAAATGTATTTAAACTTGGCACAGTTAATGTGGGAGTCCAATAGAGAATTAAACTCACTTTCCAGCGTGGGTCTTTCTTTCTGAATGCAGCAATTAAACAGCAGTTGTATATCACTAGGAAAATTACAAACCGAAAATGTCTACTTTCATTTCCCTAAATGTTTCCTGCTCATCTGCCAGGTGCACTTCAGCCCAGACCTGAAATATATTGAGCCTTTCACCACCAGTTCTCCTGCGTTATCTACTGCAATGGTTATACTGGGCTGCATATTCTTACAGAACAACATCTTGTAGCTTTTTGTCTTTTAAAAAAAAAAAATTTTTCCTTTTCTTTTCTTTTCACTGGCTTATCGGAACCTCAGGGACGGTCACGCTCAAACTATCATGCTGGGGAAACTATATGGCACTAGTAATGGGGAAAAGATTAGCTGCCGGGAGCCTACAGGCAATACTGGGCACTAATTCTTTGACTTCTGCTGGTCTTTTTGAGCACAGCGTTCACAGTTTAAGCCTTTTTAAGTTTAAAAATGTTGTAAATTGATGTTTTTTATGTATATATACAGTATACTGTGGGTGCCAAAAAAAGTATACACATTTTAGGAGATGTTATGTATGTATTACATTTCGAAGTTGAATTGAATTACGGTAGCATTGTGTAGTATGACATTCGCTCAATAGATAGCATTAATAAAAATGAATGCTAGCGCCACCAAGCAACAGGCAGGACAGTCAAAGAAAATGGCGGAAGCATGGTTGTCGTTCGAGGAGTGCAAGACCATTTTGAAGTGGCATTTGAAATTTGAGAACGTTGCGGAAGTACAACAGCAATGAGGGCATGAGTATGCAAAAGAACCTCCAACACATCTAACAATTTCACTCATTCATGATAAGGGAAGAAACCGGAACGCTTTGGACACTTTGGTCAACGTTGCTCAAGCAGTAGTTTGCTGTAATCAGAAGTGTCTGGATGCTGATGGTAACCACTTTGAGCACCTCTTGTAATTGCAGAAATCAAATGTGACTTATAGTCCTCTTTTGTTATCGGTATATATTGAGTACTGCAGTTTTAATACAGTTTTTTCTTTTTTTAAATGTGTATATTTTTTTTGCCATCTACTGTATATGTATGGTGTGTGTGTGTGTGTGTATATATATGTATGTGTGTGTATATATTTGGCCCAGTGGTTCAATACTGTACACAGAAAGTCCACACCTATGGATGCCACACCACCATACCTCCCAACTGTCCCTCACTGAGCTCTGGGAGCGTCTCTTTTTTCTTCTGTCCCTCAATTGCAGCCGAGTCCCGCTGTCCCCCTTTCCTCCTCAATTATCCCTTTTGTTGGTCTGATGTACAGATACCTATGAAAATGTTCTAATTAACTAGCAAAAGTGTTTATTCTGCACTAAAACCTTTATCTTATCATTTAATTATCTTATTTGCTATTTTGAAAAGCCAGCAGAAAGGAAAATGTATGGTAAAACCCCCCTAAAAACTGGGTTTACCAACCATTTTTGGAATATAAATTCTTAATGGAATGAATAACTGGGGAGATGGCAGGGGTGTGTGTTGCTTAAAAACATTGTGCTGGAAGATGTCCCTCAGAGCTAGACGAAATACACAAAACACACCAAGATTCCAGTAAGAATCTCTTGTATTTAAACAATATTTTCTTAGCTCTGAATTCAACTTCAGGCTTTCTCAATACATATTCAATGGCAACAGTTTGGAGATTCACTGGCTTGAGAAATAGCAAAATGCTTGAAATGCCATTGCATTTGTAATGTAAAATCTTATATAAACATATTTACGGTGGGGCCACAATCCACTTATGAGTTAGTGGTAGCAGGGCACTTGCAGGACTTGCAAACAGTACAGTGGCAAATAAGCAACTTTATTGCATCCCTCACATTTCGGTTGGGGGACAGCTCACCTTTATCCTGATTTTATGTGTGTGTGTGTGTATATCTATCTATCTATCTATCTATCTATCTATCTATCTATCTATCTATCTATCTATCTATATCTATAGATATAGATAGATATATGTCTATCTATCTATATCTATAGATATAGATAGATACATCTATCTATATCTATAGATATAGATAGATAGATATATGTATACATACATACATACATACATACATACAAGGTTAAGTCCAGGCAATATTTTTGTGATAGATTGAGGAAGGGGAAGAACCAGGGGCATCCCTATAATCAGGCAACTGGCAGAAGGGGTGCCCCCGTTCCAGCCAGAGCATCCCAGGTTGCTAAGGGCTCTTAGAAACTTGTGACGCTCTGGTCAATGTAAAAAGTAAACTACATTCTTCCACTATCCTCTCTAAGCTTATCATGTTGAAAGAAATGGAGATAATCACTATGAGGTGATCACTGAGTAGGAATGGAAGATTTAAATATATATGAACCCTAACAATGATCTTATTTGCTCCCTTTTTGTCTGTAAAATATACCAATGAAAGCATTTTGTTATATCTGCTGATCAAGACAGAAATCTTGTGAGCTGATCATTTCCTGTGCTCTCTGTCTGTGCCATAACATTGTTCCTAGTTTTCCTGTGGACTACAGAACGCCTCCCCTCTGTTATGGAGATAAGTAGCATTGGAGATATTTCTGTTATCCTGACACACTTCCTGTCCTAGGGTGACAATCCTGCTCCTCCATAGATGCAGTATGAGTGAGCGTTGTCACCCTAGGGCAAGGGAGTGTGTTAATTGCAGAATCACTAGTTGAAAAGCAAGAGGAAGAAAACCTGAAAAATAAAAATGAATGCAGACACCACATGCACTTTAATGTCTAATTTGATTATTCATATTTGCCAAAATTGTCATTTAATGCTCATAAGTATTGATTAAAAAAATCCAATTTCCAACAACATCTTTCCTTTCCTGTAATAGGCAGCTTCAAAAGATGGTGCATGAGATAAAGAGCAATGACGGCGGATTTATGCAAAAGATCAAAAGGTAAGGCATGTTCTAAACTAGGTCTGTCATTTTATAAATGTATTGCTTCCTCTTCAATAACGGTGTTTATTGATTTCACAATATGAAAAATGCACAATATGAAAAATGCACATACAAAAGCTTAGATTTCAGAAACATTCTCCCTCATCTGATTACCAATGTGCACAATTATACTATCATCTTTGTGTACTGTAAATATGCATGAAGCGTAACGGTCCCAGTATTTACATTCTTGAGAAAATAAGTCTGTGAATTTCAACAACTTATAACTGATTATACTGCATTGTTGTTTCCTAAGCCTTACACCACAGAAGTCAGGGGTTCCATACTGTGCACTAATTAGGGGTACAAACCTAAAATGAACTTATGAAATGTGAAATAAAGGCTGTAATGCTGTAATAAACTAGCGATTCTGGATGAACTGTTGGGTAACAGTTAAGTTGAAAAGGGGGATTTGCATGGTCCTAGTGCTTATTTTCAATGGAAGTAATGACAGGAGAATAACTTCTGATTTAAATAACTCCGGGCACAAATTGTATTAATCACCATTTTCTCACAATGCATTGCTGCCCATTTGCAAGTCTCTATGTGAAGTGGCAGGAAGGGAAATTATATATAATATGTTAATACACTCCATTTTACTTTGTCTATCAGCTCTCTCCTATGATTCTAAGTGTTGCTTTATGTAATGATTGTATTATCAAATTATCCATTTTACAGTTTGTTTTATGGCATAATCAGTGGTTTTTAACGTACAAGCAAAATGGCTGTATCTCCACTTTTGCAGTCAAAATTGAGAAAACATACATGAGCATACATAACAATTTGAAAAAAAATCTCATCTTTTAGATGTCTCCATTTAGCAGGCATTTGCATGTTCCTCCCAATTTCAGTAATCGCAAACTCTATCTGTACTAATAAAAAGACTTGGGACAGACTGAGCTCCTCCTCATGAACATACAATCTGCTTCTCTTTTTCATTTTCAAATCTTACCTGAACAAACTGAAGAGAGAAGCTGATTGGTTACCCTGCACAGCTGTTCCAGTTTTTGTCTGCTCCAGGTTTGATAAAACCCCCCCCCCCCCACTATCTTCAGGGCTGTAATCCTTTGCTAGGACAAACAGGCCCGCTCATCTACTTTTAAAGTGATAATTAATCAGCACAGTGCAGTCAGGATTAATTATTTAAAACAAAACTCCCTCAACCCCCCCAGACAGTGAGAACTAAGCAGGATTTTTTTTTTAGTCCTGGAATTGGCACAAAGAGCATCTAAAAAGGTAAGGTGCCATTTTTTTCTTTAAAGAGCATCTCCTAGAATGTAAAATATTAACCCAGGCAGTAGGGCTACCTCCCGCATTGCAAGGGTTAACTGCTCGTTTTTTTGGGGGGGGATAGGTTTGTCTAGGTTGAAAAAAAAGTTATACTCACCTGATTTCTGTAAGGGTCCGGCTTGTAGACTGGTCTCTAGGGCCTCTCTCCCCCTTGCTGCAGCGGTCTAAGGTCCCTGAGCTATTAAGTTCTTTACACAGTTTATAGGACCTGAGGACGCCAAGAGATATACCATCACTGCAGTAGAGGAGATGACAGGCTGGAAAAAGCACTGTCCTAGCCAGCCGGCTCCAAGGTTCAGGTAAGTATAACAAAAATTGGCAGTTAACCCTTGCAGTGTTGGGGTAGCATGGGGGTAGTAGGTAGAACTTGATGGCTTAGGGACCTTAGACTGCTGCAGCAGAGGTGAAGAGAGATCAGGTGAGTGTAACTTTTTTTTTTTTTTTAAAGCCAAACAAAAACAAACAGTTTACCCTTGTGTTGGGGGGTAGCCCCACTGCAAGGGTTAATAAAATTGTTGATACTGCTATAAAAAAAAGCACCTTTAAAAATCCCATCCCTTTTAATACATTTGGAACCAGCATGTATATATAAAAAAAGAAACATAAGTTAATTCAATGAGGCAAAACAAAAATCACAGATTATATTCAAAAGCAACCAGAGATTAACTGATCTGACCATAGTAAATTAAAACTGGACTTTTTTGGGATGACTATGAGCTGCACGTTCCAAACGCCCTATAAGCTGTCATCCTGAATATACCACATATTACAAATCTCGGGTATAGTGTGACATCCAGCAGGTCTCTTAAGGCGCAAACTATGCCAGAATCCCCTCTGGCTACTTCAGCTCTTCTGAAAGAAAAATGAGCGGTTAGGACATCCTAATGGGTCTTGCGTGTAATATTTTCTGAAAGTCCTTTCTTTACCCTTGGGTGGTCTCGGCCAAACTGGACAAGGTCGAGCTGGGCAGGATGGCTGGGCCGTTTTTTACCCTGCCTATTCCCGAGCTGATTGTGTCCCCCTTGGGCGTGGTTCCCAAGAAGGAGCCTCAAAAATTTCGGCTTATTCACCACTTATCCTACCCGAAGGGGGCGTCGGTTAACAGCGCCATTAGTCCTGAGTTATGTTCGGTGTCCTATACATCGTTTGACACGGCGGTGGCGTGGGTGCAGCGTTATGGCAAGGGGGCGCTGCTGGCGAAAGCGGATATCGAATCCGCGTTTCGGTTGCTCCCTGTGCACCCCGATAGCCAGCCATTGCTTGGCTGTCGGTGGGACGGGCGGTATTTTATTGATCGTTGCTTGCCTATGGGGTGTTCAATTTCCTGTTCCTTTTTTGAAAAGTTTAGTACTTTTGTTGAATGGGTAGTGCGTGATGTGGCTCAGGTTTTGTCCATCATCCACTACTTGGAAGATTTTTTGTGCGTTGGCCCGCCGGGTTCTCCCCTCTGTTCGGTGTAGTTGAGGACGTTGGAAAGGGTGGCCCGGGAGTTGGGTATTCCGCTGGCGCACGACAAAACTGAGGGTCCTGTGACCGAGTTGCAGTTTTTGGGTATCATCATTGATACGCAGGCCATGGAATGCCGCTTGCCGTAGGACAAGCTTAAGGATCTCCAACGGGAGGTGGGTGCGGCTCGGAGGGCGCGGAAGGTGCGTCTCCGCCTGCTTCAATCTCTTTTGGGTAAATTGAACTTCGCCTGTCGCATTATGCCGATGGGGAGAATTTTCAATCGACGTTTGTGTGCGGCTACGGCGGGGATCACCTCCCCTCATCATTTTGTTCGTTTGACTGGCGAACACAGGGCGGATTTGGCGGTTTGGGAAGCGTTTTTAGATAATTACAACGGTAGATCGTTGTGGATGGCGCCCGTGGTGTTGGCTTTTGACCTTGAATTGTACACGGATGCGGCGGGCAGCACTGGTTTTGGGGCGTATTGCCAGGGGGCTTGGTGTGCCGAGGCGTGGTCGGAGGATTGGCGCGAGGCGGGGTTTTTGGGCAATTTGGCGCTTTTTGGAGTTGTTTACCATCATTGTGGCCATGGAGGTTTGGCAGGAGCGTTTTCGTGATCAGCGTATTCGGTTCCATGTGATAACATGGGTGTTGTGGAGGCGGTGAACCGGTTGTCGGCATCTTCGCCCCCGGTGGTGCGTTTGCTGCGGCATTTGGTTCTCACTTGCTTGCAGCTCAATTGTTTTGTCAAAGCAGTGCATGTTCCTGGTGTGCGGAATTCGGTTGCTGATGCGTTGTCTCGTTTTCAGTGGGACAGGTTCTGGTCGCTGGCACCGGGAGCGGCAGGGGATTCCTTGTCCTGGGCATCTTTGGAGGGTGGCGTTGGCTTCTCGGCAGCACTGATTCGGCAGTCGGTAAGTACGGGCACTTGGCCGGCGTACTCGTCGGCTTGGCGGGAGTGGTCGGATTTGGAGAGTGGATAACCCGGAAGGAGTAAGTGTCCTCGAGCTGGTTGTGGTGCGGCTGGGGACATGAGTGGAGTGTTATGAGAGGCCTTTTTTGGGCTGGCGGGCACACAAAGACCCCTTCTCAGGTCAACCCTTGTTAAAGTATTATTTTTGTATATTTGGTTTATTACTTTGGTTATTGTTAAAGTTGTTTGTTTAATAAAAGGGCTGCTGTGGCCGTTAAAATCCATGTTGCGCAGTCCGTGTGTTTATTGGGGTTTTTAACGGAGGGACAGAAAATTGACGAATCCATCAGTCATGTCTGTATCAATCAACGGGACCATAACCTGCAGCCGGAAGATGAAGGGAGATCTTGTCATTAGCAAATAATATGCATCATCCCCCAAATAAGGCTGTATAGCGGCAGAGAAAAACCTAGGGGTGTAAAAACATTGTGTAGTACATGTAAGTAAGGAAGACCAACTGTATGACAACTCTAAGCCAGAAATGGTAATTATTGATCGCCTGTGATGAATCCAATAGAGGACCAGAATTCAAACCCTGGCAGTAGCGGAAAAAAAAAAAGCTCTATGACTAAAGAGAAGGTGAGCTCTAGGTACTCCACACACCAGGGGGAAAAAAACGTATGTAATGAAACACCCAAACTCTTGCTGGGTGTGTGACGGCCAGTATCATTCACCCAATTCCTGTAAGGCCAGGGTGTCAAGGACACGCCCTTCTAAGGGTATATAAACCATCTGCACTGGACTCACTGGAGAAAGCTGCAGAGAATGGTCCCATGTCATTGTATGACATTGTTCTGTGTAGGATTCAGGACCTGCCCACTGCTGGAGAAAAAAAGATAACCTGTAGCAGCATTTAACTGGAGTTGGGCTTTAAAGGAGAACTATGGGATCAGGGTTTTTCCCCATAGTTCTCAGGGTAACGGGAGGACACAAACTAGCGTCCTCCCATCACCCTAAGCTCAGTATACCGCGAGCTACAGCTCGCGGTATACTGAGACGCTGCAGCCGGAGTGGATCCCGACATCGATGTCGAGATCCGCCCAGCTGCGTGAGTGACAGCTGGCTCTGCCTATCTAGAGGCAGAGCCAGCTGTACCCGCCCCTCCCCCGTCCGATCCGACAGTCAGCGCTGGTGGATCGGAGGGGGGAATCCATCCCCTCCCCTGTCACGTCAGAGAGGCGTGACAGGATCGAGAAGTGAGCGAACACCGGCATGTGTTCGCTCACCTCCCGATCTACTGAGCCGA